ATTTCTAGAAATCTTTTCAGAATTTTTTTTTATTCAAAAAAAAAATCGGGAAACAAAGCAATTTTATTTTTGGAAAAGGTCTTGAATTTTTTTTTACGTTTTCCGATTTTTTTTCTGCTTCATAAATTTTCTGATGTCTTCCAGAAATTTTTTGAAAATTTTGAAAAAATATTCCGATTAAATTTTATTAAATTTTACGCGGGGCCCGAAAGCAATAAAACAAATTGAAGGAGAAAGAGAACACTCGAGAAAGACGGGAACGATCGGTTTTGGGCTAGTGGTTAATCCCAGAAGCACTAACGTTACGAGACACGCTTGTAATCGTTAATCCCAGAGGAGACAATACCCTAGAATATCCCCGAAAGGGCATTTTCCTCGTGGCATAAATGTCCATCCATTCTCGAGTTCAACTATACCCCGGGTTCCCTGTGTATTCGGGGAGGGCAGCAATTGTACACTTGTCCTCTGTAATCCTCGACGACATTCCCATAAATTACGCAAAAGGTTGTTTGTTTCACCGTTATTATATGATTTTTGTGTCGAGAAAAAAGTTTTTTTATGCCCATCGACGATCCGGGTGCCAGAGGGGGAACCATAAATTCTCGTCGGTTATTGCACATGTGGAATTGGGAAATTTTAGGGTCACCGAGCCGGCAGTTGGCAATGCATGTTCAAAATACATTTGGATACCATGGATTATTAACTCCAACGCGGCAATTTTCCGAGACTCCACAACAAAAAGAAAATTACCGGAAACGTCTCGAAAAATTATCCGATCACTGGCATTTCCTTCTAAAATTATTCGTTCAATGAATTCGTTTCACAATTATGTGATTCCGCTACAGTAGTGAGAGTCAACGTGCTGTCCGGCACTTGTCTGAATTTTTTAGGAATAATTGAAATTATTTATCCTACGATTAATTCCTTTCCTTTCGTCGCAGAATCTATTTTATTAAATTCATAAACCCCGTTTCTTGGATCAAGCATTTTCTTCGGTAACGTGAAACTTTTTTTTCTCAACCCGGGAAAACCTGGGGTACAGAGAAAAACGGCCTGACCCAGTTCCAGGTAAACTTTGTACCTCTGAAAACCTCAAACAGTATTGGATTACACTACTGACTGGTACCAGTAAAAAAAGCAATTACTCAAAAACAAGTATCAACGGGGTTTATCCAGTGCCTCAGTGGGGAAATTAAAAATTGAAATGAACTATAAATTTTCGGTGGATTTTCCCCGAAAATGAAAGGGCGAGTATCAAAGGGAGGTAGAATGAAAAGGGCTTGGAGGATATTGGTCCTATCCCCGACGGAAATATCGAGTGACTGAGGAAATTGTGTCACTGACCACAAGAGCCAGAACTCCACACGTTCTCCAAATCTCTCACTACCTCGTATCCCATCTACTCCAAAGCTCTGGAATAATCTCCACGTTTTTTCAATTTAACAATCACAAAGAAAAATGAGAAAAATGAGAGAATTTCACCGGTCATTTATTCAGGAATATAACGTAATCCTTCTTTACTCTCTTTAGAAAATTATTTTCATAATCGGTAAATTAAATTCAGATGTCAATAATAAATAGGAATAAATGGTACTTACATATGACGTTCAGATGGGCATTAGCTCTGATGGCTTTACTCTTCCCGTAGGGACCAACTTGACACTGATATTCCCCATCGTCAGTCAATGAAGCATCGGTGATTGTCAGATTATAAACCCCATGTGCCTGATCTCCCTTTAACCTCAACCTTGGATACCCCACAATACTGCCCCCTGAAAAAAAAATGTTTTCCATCAAATAAAAATCGAATCATAATCCCAAATCCATCAATTCATTGGAATATTCTCAAAATTTGAACAAAAGATTTACAAAATGACTCGTATATTTTTTTTTATCCAGAAATAATTGTTAATGAGATGTATATATTTTATAATTGTGAGAATGAGATGTGAAAAATCAGTTTAACCTACCAGGTTGAACGACGAAAGCAAATCCATCTTTTGCCCATTGAACGATTCCCATTCGATTAGCAACAACGCAAGGAATCATAACCGATCCTCCCTCCTCCACCGATTTGTTCACTGGCCTCACTTGGAAGAATTGTTGACTTATTTCGCCTGAAAATAAAAATAAATCGAAATTACGACAAATTGAGACAATTAGACGATCGACTCAGTCATTACTCCCGTAATTATATGATCGGTATTCATCGGGGAATGAAATCCATCGGTTCTCGATTCTCCGGATTAAATCCTTCTTGTCTCGCGACCTTTTTATTTATTTTTTTTTTTCGCGGGGGAATCCACTGGCGCAGGGAATGAAATAAATGTTGTATCAATACAACTCACTCCACGATACAAAACCAATAGACGTAACAACGATAAACCCATTGAGCAAAGTAAACGGATTTGTATTCTGCAGCTGAAGATCGATGTTGTATATTTGATATCAGCGGTTGACAATAAAATTTACTGAGGCTGTATTATTATTATGGTTTATCAAATAAATAAAACCAGTGGCTGTGGCAAGGACTGGTATTGATACAGGGAATTATTGTTTGTCTTTGAAAATTTCTGTCCAGAGAATCCATTAAATTCCCTCACGAATGATCTGCTATTCTATTGCGACAATAGAAAATAAGAATTGCTCTGTAATTGTTCTACGAAATAAATTGAATATCAATAAATTAAACGACGAATAAATTTCGATTGTCTCACCTCGAGAATTTTGTGGATTCGATAAAATTTTGGGGATTCGAACGGAATGAATGGGCAATTCCATAAAAAACACTGGGGGAAATCTCGCCTGCCAAAATAAGCCCGCGAAATAGATAAATAAAATAAATGCTCGGGAAATATATCCATTTTTGGGCATCGCCTTGAAGTTTTTCAATTTCAGTGTGAATTGGTGCGCGTAATTTGATGCACAAGGTATTGGACGCTCGGGTGATGCAACGTTTTTGGCATTTGTATGCGGCAATTCATCGTGGAAACTCCTCTCTTCAACAGGGTGTATATAGATTGAGTTTAAATCGGGAGAGGATGAGGAAAAGACGTGAATTTTACGACTTACGTTATTTTTTTTTATTTCATGGATTTTCCGCGGAAGAAAGGAACGGTTGATTCGCTGGGGCGAGTTATCGGAGTTGAATCGTTGTGACGTAATCAAATCACTTTTGTTACGCGTGAAGAGAATCCTCTACTTGTCCATTTCCCAAAACGTTAATCATGCGGATAAACGATAATGCGATAATTAATATTATTTTTTTAGAGAGGAAAAATTTTTGCGCCGCCAATTTTCTGGAAGTCACGGAAAAATTATCGGACAATTTCCTACGTTTTTATTTCTGAATAAATACCGTAGATAATTGAATATACATAAAATGCATGTACCCGAGACATGCGTGTAATCATCCGCCGTAAATTACCGGAAAATGGCGTCCGACGAGACATATTGAGTGAAATTGCCGTAACAGTTATAATTTTTCTATCCCGATTTTCATTGAATTTTCGTCGTGAGGTTTCCCTTCACGACAATGATCTCTGCATTCTCCATAAATAAATTGAAAAAAAAAGTACAATGTTTCTTGCACATTCGCGTTAACTCGTCTCTCACCGGAATGCCTCTGTTTTCAGAGCATTTTGCACAGGGGTTATGTACCACGAGAATTAATGCTCCAAGATCCGACGTGTAAAACGAGGGGCGTGGATTCACCATTTTGTTTCCTTATACACCGAGTTCTTCTATATATTCATACATACATCTTTAGGAAAATTGCTTCTTATACCGACCAAGTTTGCCCTTTTGTCGGCACCAAACCACCAGCCAGCGTTTTCCGGTTATGACGCGGTTCAGCCATTTTGTCGGAAAAATATATTTACCCACAATATCATATTCCGATATATTCCTCCCACCATACCAATTATGGATTTTCCACATCGAATCTTTCCAGAATACACATAAAAGTTATATAAATCCGCGCTTATATACATTTTTTTTATGCTTCACATAAATTTTTGGAATATTGAGAGAATATATTTAATGATGATAAATATATTATGAAGATAATTACTCGATTAGAGAAAATATTTTGACTTGACGGAATTGAATTGATTTATGAGAATTTTTTTCATGTGTAATTTTTCAATTGCTGCACATGTAATTGAATTCCTATGTACAGGTGTGTATGTAAAAATATCAACAGATCGATAAAGAAATTCTTGGATAAGATCGGAGTGCCAGTTGGACCTGTCGTTGGGAGGAATTAAAAAAATTAAGTACGATGTCCTCCAGCAATCCGGATTTTCACTCATATAAAGACACTTTTTATGGTAGCATAAAAAAGTCATACTGCTGAATGGAATTGAGAGATACCCATACGACTCTCACTTGGAAGCTCTAAAATCTCGGCACATGACGGCTCTCACATTTTCAGTTTTTAAATTTCCTCATCACGATACACCTCATACCACTCGATCGAGGATAAATCGTACGGGTTTTTAAATCGATGTCTCAATTATCGCTGGTGTACTGATAAATCGAGGCAATTCAACTCCACAACACGAACCGGCTAAACGCTGAATTAATCTCCGCAAAACACCGGAAGTGCCAAGTTATCGTTATTAATAATTGAAAGAAAAGGAAAATGTTTGATCGGTACTCGCGATAAGATTGCAATTTCCATTTTCAGTGGTAAATATATTTTTTTATGTCAATATATTTTTTTCTATTTGCATTTTCTAAATGCCTGATTGCGATATTATTATCTTGAGGATCATTTTCACGCAATCCGCGAAATTGAAAGATAAAAATCGGTGGAGAAATGTTTTTTTCACTGCGTAAAACCGCAGAAACCGGGTACTTCGGCTTCACTGGTTTAATGATAGGATGTTATCACTCGGGTGTTGCCCTCGTGACAATATATTGCCATTTTTTTTTCAGTACATTGACGCTAATTGAGGCTTGAGCGCAATTATCTGGCGGCGAGTCGTCTCAATTTCTTGGTGCAGCTTTTCACTCGTGGATTCATTAATTATGCCACTGCAGTAATTTGTTCAAACAGAGAAATAGCGGATAAATCGAATAAACAGTCGAGGGGGATTGAGTTATTTTCGAAAATAATCGTTGGCGAGAATTCTAATAAGGGAAACCAATCTCCAGGGGGGCATAACAGGTTGTAATCGGTAGAAATCGGTAGAAATCGGTAGAAATCGGTAGAAATCGGTTGGGATCGGTTGGAATATCGCGATGCATCGTGCAAATACAAGTTCAGAAGGCATTTATTCAGTGAACGATAAGAATTCCTTGAGATTAAATGACTCCATATTCCCAGTGATAAGAGATATCGGTGCAGGAACAACCGGCTAAAATCGAATACCGGTTATTCTCACCAACATGATTTGTCATTGCGATAATCACACGGCCCACCATTTTCAGTGTCTCACCGGGACTTCATTCTCGTTGTTGTAATTTTATACCAATTATTATCACTGTTATTACAGACTTCCAGGATAAGGAGACCGTGTGCAGAATAAGCAGTTGAGTCTGCACAACTCCTCTATGACCTCCGTGTACATACATTTCGCATAATACACCTCTTCACTGTAATTTATCTCGGGGAAAAATTTACTTTTATCAAGTATATCTCACTCTCCTCAAGAAACTTCTTCAAGGAAAATTCGAGAGGACGCGAGAAAAACCGCGCGCACTTTTCCGATGTTTTGTCGAGAGTTGATAATTAATTTCAAATTTATTCCAGTAATTTTCCATTTTCTGTGAATGGTTTTATAGGGTGACGTGAGATTCAATCGAATGCATCTTATTTTTGAATTAATTATATTATTAATTATAATCTAGTTTTGGGATTATTTTCTGGGGGTTGTATTTTCGTTGGAAAAAATTTCTCTCAGGGCGATTATTGTTCTTACTCGTTGGGTTCTTGCACGAAAACTCATGCAAGTTTTTTGCCACCAGATTCCCAGATGCCTTATACCTCATCAGATAATGAACGTGGACAAAGTTTCCCCTACATTTTCTCGTATTTTTCTGCCTCAAATATTTACATTAGCAGTATACCGTGTGCGCCGGAAAAAAAAATTCAGGAAAGAGGATGAATAAAAGGGGAGAATACTCTGGAGTTTAAATTTCTGTGGTTGCAGATATTTTGTATGTGTGGTTGATAAAAGAGCAGAAGTCATGGCATGAGGTATATCATGGGGTACTTAAAACTTGAACCGATTTTCACCAAAAATACTCCAGAAAAAAAAACCTGGAGATGAGTTGCAGTTCTCATTAATATTGAAATATATCGGGAACAAGAACTGATATTGAAATTTTTGTTATGACCTTTTTTGCAGAGATCATTATGAGCTACAAAAAATGTTATTACAGAATTTTAATATCTCCTCTGAATTTCGAGATATTTAGGGAAAATTCACCGAGTCTGTTTGTCTTTTGGGAAAATCGCCGATTTTTTTTTTGACGATGAAAAATACATGACATTGCGCAACTGAAATATTTAAAAAGCGGGTAATCCTGTTGGATTGAGGCGCAGGCGTACTCCAGAATCTCTGTGAAGAGAACAGTGAGAATCCGAGTGGAGCCTCAGTAGGTTAGGTAAATCCTCGAGATTAAAATCCATATGACAAATTTGCGAAAAAGTTTGCGAATGAGATTTGCAGTTTTCAGGTCGCCAGTGGAGAGGGAACTGAGAAGTACCCAGAAGGCATTACATTTGGAGGATTTTTTTTTTTATTTCAAAATACAATTTACGATCTCCAAGAAAAAATATGACAATTCCATAAAACACTCCGATTCCGACTACCACTCCGTTTTCAATGAATATCTCGCAATCTAAAGCAGATGGCAAAATTTTAGTCATAACTTTTTTTATAGCTCTCGATTTTCTCTGAAAAAAGTTTATCACCAAAATTGCGGTATCTCCTTGTGTTCCGGAGCTATTCCCGATTCTATTGATTTAGGTGATGAAAAAAATGTTTGACGAATAAATTTTTCGCCAGAAATTTCGATTGATTTGGCTATTAAATTGCAGAATTTTATGGCCTTAAAAAATATTGGGGAATTTGGTAATTGTTG